TAATTTTGGCTTGGCTTTGGCTCTATGTTATTTAGAGAACTAAATAAAGGAGGATGTTCTAGCACAACTTCACTATTTTAACAATACCTGAAAATGAAAAAAGTGAAATTTCAAAACAACCGACAATTTTCTGTTACCCTATAGGAGTTACACCCCCTAGCGGTGAAGTTAGAAACATGAAAATATTTTAAATCAATTTGTTTTAGCCGTATTTGTTAATATATTTTTTTCGCCATAATCGTAGCACGTATAATTTCCTATATACAGCCGCTAATGGATCCACCAGCGTCCGTGCATATGGGAATATGTGCTTTGTGTGAGCGTGTGTACGCTGTGTGTGAGGGTCTGTGTGTGCGTGTGAGTCTGAATGTGCGTTTGCGCGTGCGTGAGTGTGTGTGTCCAATACCGGAGGCGGATTTTTTTTAAAAGCAGATTATAAAAGAACCTATATTTTTAGACCAACCTTTTTCAATAAAAAAATACCTTTTCAATGTAGAATGAGATAAAAATTCAAAATATTTTAATGGAGTATGATTATTTTGTGTCAATGTTTGTAAAGAAATGTAATATGTACTTCATTGGATTATCCTCTGACTTTAGGGAATTGTGTGTTAGCATCCAAATTTGGTTGCCTAACAATCGCCATCACGTGGGACCCGGGCATTTAAGAAGGCACTGTAAATAAAATTGCATACTAAGAAAGATCTACCAAAAACCGTTTCAAAGCTGTAGGAAATAATATTACACCACGATACTACATTTAGAAAGCTTTATTACAGTAAAGATTTGAATTTATAGGTAAGTTGATCTTATTTTACATTATTTATTAAGTCCACATTATTATAAATTATCATATTTATTTAAATAGATATTATTATGTTTTTGTTTGTGGACGCCTTTATTTTTTTATATGTAGTTGTTTTGTTATGATTGATTAAGAATTATGAGACTCTCTCAGTGTGTGGGTTCCATTGTTTTGTTTTATTTTTATATTTTTTGATTTAAAATTTGATGTATTGAATTTCTACTCTAATTTCTTTAAATGAAAGATGTATTTAAAATAACAAAATATCAATATATTACTAGATTTAGCAGGTTATGGGTTTTGTTACAATTTATAATTGTTGTAATCCTTAAACTAGATGAATGAACAATAAATTCCCCCCTAAATGTCTGCTATAACAGTGCATAAATGTGTTTATACCGTCAGTAGTTGAATTGGTTAAAATTGTGCATTAGTTACATATAAATATGCAGTGAGAATTTTAATGTAAAGATTTATATAGCGCTTTGTGTTTCAAATTTGCAAATTTGTTTAATAAGTATCGACACTTACGATGACAGATTTCTTGCTGGTTGTTAAATCCGCATGTAACCACGCTGTATTGCGAAATCTCCTATCCGAAGTCGCGCTGTTCGGACGTTCTCTCGTTGAACTGGCGTCTCGCCGCGTAGATTGTCGAAGTATCCTTTATGTTGCTGTTACAGGAATTCCTCCAGGTGAAACTACACTGCACTATATTTTTTATCGATTCCAGTTGTCACTTTTTTATTTATGTAAATTCACCTTATTTCAATTTGTTGTTATACCAATTGCTTGTGTAGAGACTGTTGAATGATCTTTCGGACTAATGTCACTTCCACTAATGTAACATTCTGACTTTTGACTGTTGAATTTTATCACGATATTAGATCACCAAGATGGCTGGGTAAGTATACAATTTTTACTGACTTATTGACTTTAACTGATAGCAATTGTTTTTCTAGGAGCAAACTAACGATGTTACTGCTAGAGGTAAACATGAAAGACTGGCTACCTCGAGCCCGGATATTGGTTTTATTAAACGTGGAAAACAAACGAAGATTACTGGCTTATGGATTGAACTGAGGTGCATGAAATTTCTATTTTCAGCTTCCTTGCATGTTTCTGCATCTTTTGACACCAATTACACATTTTTAGGTTAAGTTAAAAGTTATGCCAAAATTTTACTTATTTTTACAAATTTCACATTAATTTTGATGAATAGACTAATTCTCAGCATGTCTGTCCTTTCTATGTCTTTTGTACTACCTATTAAACACCCTTTACACAGTCTTTATTCGTTTTTTTATATGTAAACGAAAGAAAGTTTTAGAGTACTCCGTTCCGACAAGCATTATAAAGTCTACACAACAAATTGACCTTTGGTTAGAGTTTAAACACATTTTATGGAGTTATGAGGGTATTTTACGTTTTGCACATATGATTTTGCAGTCTTGATGCACTTTTACAACTAACAATTTACAAAACTTTAACGAAACAACAACTGTCAACATTTATATGCTACAAAAAAGTTTTCACAGATGCATAGGTTTAATTCATAGGTTCATAGGTTCATAGGTTTAATTCCACACATATATTCTGGCTACAGGTACACTATGCTTCGTTTACATACCAGTTTTATTGCATGAATCGGAATTATATGTGAAATACCTTCATCTTACGTCGATGACTTGTCAAAATTTCACTATGATGATTAAATGTGCTCATGCCAGAACTTATAATTGACTTTTAATATTGTAACATTGTTCTTTACTGTTCTTTGTAACATAATTGTACAACATGAGTGCATTTACATACAGGGATGGCCAGAGGTACGGAATAAAATTCATATCTTTTGAATGAGTCAATTTTTTTTAAAACGCCGAAACACGTTAACTGATTTTGATTTTTTCTCATCTTTCGGTTATATAATAATTAATTTTTCTTCAACCCCCTAACCCCCAGCTACCCCTACTTTTTTTTCAAATGGAAACATAAGGCATGAGGGGGCTCGTTGAAAAGCTTATAGAAAACCGAATCCAGCCATACCAAATAAACAAGTTTTATTTTTTCAATAGCAAGGTTTTTAGGGTTGTATAAAACACCTACTTAACAAGTGAAATAAAATTTAATTATCTTCAGTGTTATCCTCCATGAATTTGCACAGAATAAAATAAAGAATTTGAAACTGTACCTATCACTGCTAACGCAAAAAAGATATATTTTTTATGTTGCGTTTTTTTGGCACCACTTACTTGCCAGGCTTTCTGGTTAATTTTTCGCTTTAGTTGTAAATTGGAGTTCGAAACGTTACTATTGTGTCAAAATCAAGTTATTTACTGAATTGCAATGGTATTGTCGGAAAGGCAACGCATCGAAATCTTGATATTGCTTGGATGTGGAGACAAAATAAGAAGTCAGGCTGAAGTGCGCGATTTATTTAATGCGAAATATCCCGAAAACCAAATCTCGCAAGGGACAGTTAGTAAAATATTTCACAAATTTGAGGAACACGGTACAGTACAGACTTTGCCCAAAACTGGACGGGCACGTGCTTTGAATGAAGAAAAGAAATTAGACATTGCATTAGAACTTGTTGAAAATCCTCATACTTCAACTGTTTCATTGGCCCGCAATCACGATGCTTCTCGAACTGCAATTCGAATGTTTCTGAAACAAGAGAAATACCACCCCTATAAGGTATGTCTTGTCCAAGAGCTTTTGGAAGACGATTATGATAGGCGATTACAATTTTGTGAGGAAATGATGAGACGGTGTGACGACAATAATGGTTTTCAACGAGACGTACTTTTTTCGGATGAAGCTACGTTTTATTTAAATGGAGTGGTTAACAGGCACAACTATCGCTTTTGGTCCCAGGAAAATCCACACTGGACATGCGAATCGCATACGCAGCATCCACAAAAAGTTAATGTATGGGCAGGTATCATCAACAACAGAATCTTGGGCCCATTCTTTTTTGAAGAAAATCTTACTGCCGCACGCTACCTGGATTTCCTAACATTTGACCTGATACCTGCTCTAGCTGTGATTTTCCCTCATGAAATTGATCCAGATATACCGAATGAAAGAATTTGGTTCCAACAAGATGGCGCTCCCCCACATTTTGGTATTGATGTTCGAAGATACTTAGATGAAATGTTTCCAAATCGCTGGATTGGTAGACGGGGTACAGTTGAATGGCCGCCAAGATCCCCCGACTTAACACCCCTGGATTATTTTCTTTGGGGATATTTGAAAGAAAGAGTCTACCAGGACAGACCGGATAATATTGAGAATTTAAAGAACAAGATTAGGGCGGAGATGCATAATTTACCAGCTGAAGTCATTCAGAATGCTGTGGACAGCTTTTACTATCGTCTTGGAGAATGCCAAATAGTGAATGGAGGACATTTTCAGCATTTGCGACATTGAGTTTATTTTTGTAAATTATCTAGTTGTTTCAATTTCTAAATGAAAAAAAACTTGCTATTGAAAAAATAAAACTTGTTTATTTGGTATGGCTGGATTCGGTTTTCTATAAGCTTTTCAACGAGCCCCCTCATGCCTTATGTTTCCATTTGAAAAAAAATAGGGGTAGCTGGGGGTTAGAAGGTTGAAGAAAAATGAATTATTATATAACCGAAAGATGGGAAAAAGTCAAAATCGTGTTTCGGCGTTTTAAAAAAATTAGCTCATTCAAAAGATATGAATTTTATTCCGTACTTCTGGCCATCCCTGTGGTTTAATGAATATGTAAATTCAAATTTAGTTATAACTTTGACAGTCGAGACGTTTTGTCGTGAAAATTCGTTAATTACAAATTTTTAACTTATACTAACGATACATATCTTCCATTTAAATCCAGTATAGTACTCGTAATTCACATCCTGTTAATGACTATTTTAAATATATTTTGTGTTAATTCGACACTTTTGTGTCTCGGTGCCGATAAAAGAATTGATTTAAAATTTCCAAATTAAAAAAACATAACAGTACAAAGGCATTTTTAAGAATTAAATGATTAATTTTTGACGCTCATTATAGTTGAAGCACCAATTAGTTACCAGTTGCTTTAAAATACGACGCCAGAACTATAACACATTTGATGCAAATCTCTTCTAGAAATTCCAAGACATATGTAATTAATTAATTCCTTAATGTGTATACCTTGAATATTACTACGGAATATACTTACTTGAATTATGTTCCAAAACGGCACTACATGTGCTAATCTCTCCGATACGTTGGAACAACCAGCCCCGAGCAACATTAATATAGTTTTGTTGGAATATAGGGCATGGAAAAATCTGTCTATACCAACTCCAGGGTCGCACTGCAAAAAAAAAATCTGAAATATGAAAGATGTTACTACATAAAATTAAGTAGAATGTCATTATTATTGAACGTTACTGCACCGCTTGCAGTGGTTCAACACCGTGATGAGCAGGGTTATAAAATAGAGGCAAGTGGTGGCAAGTTGCATTTTATTCTTGATTCAAATTAATTAATTTATCCTATATTGGATGGAATCTGGAAGATTTCGTTTCTTTTGTGTGTATCAAAAATTAAGCAAGTGTGCCAGTTTGCAAATGTGGAGTGTATGAATGCGTGAGTGCATGAGTGAGTTAGTGGATGCGTGTGTGAGTGTGGGAGTGGGAAGTGGGAGTGTGGGTATGGGCGTGTGGAGCTGTATTTGTGCAGGTGTGGGGGTGCGCGCGTATGTGCGTCTGTGCGGATGCGGATGCAGGGCTAGGACAAAAATAATATATTAAAATGTATAATGGGGTGTTAGGAAAATGAAAAACTTGTAATGCTGCTCAAATAGCGTAGGTATCAAACAAATAATAGTTAAGTTATACAATTATATTTTTCTACAATCAATAATTAAAATAACATTTTTTGCTTGACACTAACAACGAAATATTGAGTTTATTAAGGACTAACACTTTGTCTCTCCCTTAACAATAAATTCTAATAGTCAAGAAGCTTGTGGACCCACCAAAAATGCAACAGATTTACAAAAACTAATATATTAGTATTACGTTATGTTTGTAGCAAATCAAGTGTGCTATGTGGTATATACATATGTATAATTGAACTGTGAATTGTAAATTAAGTAGTGTAGTAATCGTCAGATTGCAAAATTATGTGCAGGTCGTATGAGCAGCACCATAAAGTCATTAAAAAAAGTCAGGTCAGTAAAAAAGTAAAAAGTCTAAAAATCGGTGTTAGTAATATAGCAATTTGTACCATAAAGGAACAAAGAAATAGTCAGACCTTATTTTATGTAGATGGCAATATAATCACGTGCAGCGCGCCCAATTTCTAAGACGTGCTTAAACTTTTTTTTATTTATTAAGAAAAAAGGTGCTCTTATTTAATATTGACAAATCAAACGGTTTCCGAGAAATGCAAGATTACATACGGAAGTGCATTTCTAGTAAAACATTAAGTTTCACAAATTCCATCACACATTCATTGAAATATTAAGCATATTGACCAACTTTATGAGAAAGAAACATTTTAATTGCCTTATTTAAAAAAAAATAAAATATGCTTATGATAGTATAAATACTTCAATTTTCAAATATTTTCTTGAATTTGTTTGTATTTCCTACATTAAAAAAGTAATTTTATATTGTTTTCAAACAATATCCCAAGACAATTTGTTTCGATGATCTCTAAATTATTAAAAATTTTATTCTTTAAATAATGTGTAAAGGGGTCTGGAAAAGTTAATGAGACAGTAGTCAAAAGCGAAAATTTACAACTTGTTTCGGATCTTTAAAGCTTATCTACAGGGTGTCCCAGTATCTGATACAAAAAAGTTGAGTACAAATAGATGAGGTCAAAATAATATCAGTTCTTCATATATTTTTTTTTTCGTACGGGCCTTCATTAACAAGTTACGGGCCCCCAAAGATGAAAATTAAAAGTTATTTTTATTTACAGTCTCTAAACTATTAACTTCAGCATGATGCAAACTTGGTGATCGATAACACATGCGGACAGCTTTTTTTTTGATGTTGTAAGTGAAACTTCATTATGTCCAGAACGCCAGGGACGGACTATGTCCGATGGTTAACAACCCACAATTTTTGTATAGATGACGATCGCAATCTGCCTATATCAAAAATATGTTCCCTGAAGAATTTGCCAACGATAATACCCTCTTACTTAAACTATTAAACTTAAACTCTTAAACTCGGTAAAATTCAACAGTTTTGGTAATTATTTTCATTTTGTCACAGTGCACATCGAGCGAGACCTTCACCATTTTTAGTTTTTTATTTTAATTGGACATTTACGATGTTAGAACCGTACATATTTTTAAAATAAGAGCTTAGAAAATCTTACTGTCTGGTAATGTAATTTTCACTAACAAAATTTGTCAAACACACTTTACACATAACACAAAATACAAAACAAAATAAGAATAAGTTAAAGTAAGTTAAGTATTCAACTCCAAATATCGATGGGCATTCAGACGTTTCTCAAAAACGTATAGACATATTAAATTATTACCCACTATTAATGTATGGGTGGGAATAGTGGGTAATAATTTAATAGATCCATACGTTTTTATGGAACGTTTGAATGGACATTGAGTTTTTGCAAAATAATTTGCAGTCACTATTAGACGATGTTCCATTATACACCTGAAAAACGTTTGATTCATGCACGATGGGACTTCTCCCCATTTCAATATTGATGTACGTAATCATTTATCCATTGTGTTTAATAATAATAAATAGATTGCGAAAGGGGGCCCAATTTCATGGCCACCACGTTCTCCAGACTTTAACCCGATGGACTTTTTCCTGTGGGAATACGTGAACAGTTTAGTCAAGGAATGAATTGCTACAAAGAATTAATTTCCGTTGTGATAATATTAGTCATGCCCTAGAAATGCTTTCTCGTCTACAAACAAATAACATTCGTGCACTTAGGAAGTGTGTGGAGGTGGAAGGTGCCCATACTGAAAATGTTTTAATTATTATTAATATTTTTCTTTCTTTTAAATTATTTTTTTAACTTTTAACTTATTCTTGTTTTTTTTTTCTATTTTGTGTTATGTGTAAAGT